AACCCCCACCCCCACCAGCACTGGCAAGGCAGGCCACAGTTTATAGAGAGCAAACCCCATCCCATCTTAGCACTGGAGATGTTCCCTAGCAGGGTAACGAAACGTTTGCAAGAAAAGAACCAAGCTCAGAGAACCCCCAAGGACTCCACAGTTCAACCCTGAGCTACTCATATTCGCCTCTATTGGCTAGAGTACTACAACTGGCCAAGGCGGCTCAAAACAGGGACGATACGCAGCAATGCTTCTATGAGCCTCAGCGCCTCCTTACGGATGAAGTGGGGTTTACAGTGATGTGGGGATTCTCGCCGAGGAAAGAAGAGGCTGAAGATCCGTGCTTCCTTTCGTAAAAGCAAGCCACCCTGTAAGTGGGCTTCCAGGCGCTTATTTTGCTGAACCTGTTGTGTGGCATTAATGCAGCGGAACTAACACATTCAGAAGCCTTGCGTGGCTGCAGGGCAATCCGCAGGCAGTGAAATCCCGCGCAGTACGTTCAAGGCTCAGCAATCCCGAGGGAAAAAAGTCCCTCTCCCCGATGGTCATTTGGATGCCGCTCAGAGGCAACTTGCAAATCATGCGATAAGACCGGACTCCCCTCAAATTGTAAACCCACCTCGACCTCTTCGGCTGCGCGCGCCCCACCCGCCGCCTCCATGCTACGAGGGCCTCCGCGAGCCTCACGTGACGCTCCCGCCGCCATCTCACGCGCCGCTTTTTTTGTAACAGAAGCGCCGCCAGGCGGGCGGAGGAGTTTTTGGGGTCAGGTTTTCGCTGATGGGAAAACTCAGCTAGAGCTGAGGAGCTTTGCTTTATCATAGTTTGTTCGTGAATTAGTTTGTTTGAGGAAGCAGTGGGTCAGTTCACCGGGGGTAAATGTCTGGTGCGTAGAGCAACCCGAGGCACTCTAATTCGCCTGAAAGGGTGCAAACGTTTGCTAGAAGTGGCTCTCAGCCCAAAATTATCCTATTTTGGACACATCATGCAAAGACCCAGCTCTCTGGAGAAGGCTTTGATGCTGGGAAAGGTGGAAGGAAGAAGGAGACGACCAGCAACTGATGGACTCAGTCACAGCAGTGATGAGTGCATCGTTGGAAGAGCTGAAGGACCAGGTTAGGGACAGATCATCATGGAGAAAATCTCTGTGCTAAGAGTCAACAATGACTTGAAGGCAAATAATCCATCAGAGGCGGCTTCCCACTTTTTAACTTTTAGGGAAGGGTGGCTGAGTGCTCAAAAAAGCCTCCCTCCAACATTCTCCTGTGCTTTATATTTTTTCTTTCCACATCCTATCATTTTATTTATGCAAATCCTCTTAATAAATCAGAGTTTCACCTGTTTCATGGATATACAGGTAGTCCTCTACTTACAACCATTCATTCAGGGACTGTTCAAAGTTACTGAATGGTGGTTATGACCAGTCCTTGTGGTTCTGGCCATCCCAGAACCCCTGCAGTCACATGATTGTGATCTGGATGCTTGGCAACCCCTTTGCACTTAAAAGGGTTGCCAAGTGCCCTGGGATCACATGATTGCTATTTGCAACCTTTCCCAGAAAGTCAAAAGGGAAACTGGCAGGGAAGAACACAAGTCGCTGGGGTAAGTCTCCCAACCCATACACCCTCCCACAGCCTCTCATGCTGTGCTGGCCACTTGTGCACCCCCGTGCATCCTCCCCAACCTGTGCCATACCCCCGTGCAGTGCACTTTCCTCAACCTGCAGGGCACCTCTCGTGTGCACCCTTGCTGCACTGCACCTCTCGTGCACCCTCCCTTTTTTCCAGTGTTGTGCATAGTTTATCCTTGCAGCCATAAGCATGTAACTTATTGTTATGGCATTTTTCATTATTTTATGTTCTGAAATTATGCCTATTTAGGAAAAAAAGTGGTTTCATTTCAAATTTGTTCCCTAACATTCTCTGAGTGGTGCTGTGTATGTCTGATACTTTTGGGGTTTTTTTGGCATGTTTACCACATATGGTAGAATGTTGCTTCTGTCTTGTGACAGTTCCAGCATTTATTGCTATATGATTTGTCTATTTTAGCAATTATTGACAGAGTTGTGTACCATCTGTAAAATATTTTATACCAATTTTCTCTCAAACCATAGCTTGGAGTAAATGTTATAGATTTGCTCCACAATTCTTCCCATTGTTTTATTGGGACTGTTTCTTTGAAGTTTTGCATCCAATTTATCATACATGCTTTTATTTGGTTTGTCTCCTTATCATATCTAAATAAAAGTTTTTATATATATATCCTAATAGGTGATCTATATATATATATATGACCTAATAGGTGATCTTGATTCTGTATAAGCATTTCAAATTCTGTCATTTTTTAAAATGTTCCTCCCTTGTTTTTGAGGTCAGATTTTATTCTTCCAGTAATTTGTAGATAGTTCAGCCATAGTATGTCCTGGCCTTCCACAACATAGTGAACCACATAATGGACCACATAGCAAACATTTTAACCTAGCTTGTGTGAATCCGGTCTTGTGATTACTTTGAATTCTGGACCAGGTTCATACAAGACATTGATGATTACTCAATCCCATTTTATCTTAGCCCAGAAAATGGAGTTGATGAAGCCATGGGCAAATCTGCAGTGGGAATGAAGTTAGCTGCTTCATAGAATGTGTGAACTCAGTTATTAACCAAACTTAACAGGCAGAAATTTAGCACCTGAGATTTCCTCACATAGGGAAGCAATGCTGGAGAAAGGTTAATCAGAGATTTTTTACAAATCAGTACAGCACAGGAGCACTTTCAAAAGAAAGTCATAGATAATATTTACATATCTTTCTCAGTTCTCTACCACAGGGTAATCAGGTCCCCACCAATTTTTTATAGTCCCATTATCGATTGGTGGCAGTAATGGGCTAAAATCAGGTTCTGAAAATAACCTACCAATTTTTATCCTTAAGGAAGCAATACTTTTAAGACATACGCAACTGCATGTTTTATATCTCGCTTACTCAGTCTTCCTTTTGTCACCCATATAGGCCTCTTAACTGTCTCTCCCAATTTGCTATGCTTGACAGCTCATGAATGGATAGGAACAGGTATCTTAAGATGGGTGAAGATGTAGCTTTGGTCAGTGGGGTTGAATTTATATGGGAAACACCCTCACTGACCTTTCCTTGTCAAATAACTCTACTGACTTCAGATGGAATCCAGCTACATGAAAATTCTTCATGTGAATTCTGGAGTCCGTGATTATGTTTAGTGGCCACCTGCAAACCTGAGCATAAGTATATAGTGGAAGCCATGAGGATAACATAGTAGCCAGTGTATCATGATGTCATTGCATGGATGACATGAATTACATACTTGTGTCACTTTTGCCTCCACCTGCCCCCTGCAAATGCTCATGTATATGAGATTCTGTGGCTAGGTTCACACATCATACTATACCATGAGATTTGTTTGCTTTATACTGTGTTGGTCAAACCTACCCAATTGTAGTTTTTCAATCATGGCTTAATATGCAAAAGAAAACTTAATATTTTATTGTGCCTAAATCTTTGGACTATGCAGTTTTGAATTCAAACAGAAAAAGCATTTGGGAGTGCACAGGAGCACTCACAGAGCACCTGTTGATAACTAAAGCAGCTTCATCCTACATGCTCTCTAAAATATTGCCTTTGAATCCAAAGCACTGAACTCTACTAATCATTCCCAGCTTTTCTATTCAATTTGGATGGCTAATTAGCCTGATTAAAGTGTTTGAAAATGCATGACTTTAAAGTTCCATACTTTGTGTAAGCAGTTGATCTGGTAGATAAAATGCTTTGTGGAAGATGGCTTTTTACATAAATGTTTATACTGCATATAAATACAAATCATTGTTTTAAGGCACTCCCTGACAAATCTTGGAGTAAGGGAACATAGAAGAGACTTCATTTAAGGAGCACCTCATATTCCTAAGACTCCGCTGGGTCAGGCTGTGTTGCACAATCCCAGGAGCACAGGCACTTCTTGGCTAGTAGCCAAGAGCCTAGTAGCCAGAGTCCCCCTTCTAGACATCAACTGGCCAGGGACTAGATATGAAGGGACCACTGACAGAATAAAGCCTCTAATATGCCAGGCTGTAGAAGGGCAGGAACTGTATTCTTCAAAATTGTAGCCCCTGACACTTCTGGGATTGCATGCTGCAAGATCCAACATTTATTGTGGGTTAGTAGCTATTTAAGTTTGTGCAACAGTAAGAACAATGGGGTGCCAGTTTCCAAATATTTCACTTCTGCGTATACACCAGTAGCCTTATGCTTCTTGGCCTTTTGGCTAAGATCAAGTAGAGTGGTCGAATTTTAGGAAGATGAAAGTGGCCCCTTCCCTTTTGGCATTTAGGAAATAAATTTAAGCTGTATTTAAGCAGGCCCTGTGGTCAGATTCATTTTTGCCTTGAGGCATTATAAGTTAATTGTGCTTTGTGATTGTTTTATTTTTGGGTCTTATATAGATGATTTTGATTAAATTATACACTTATATACAGCATTTTGTTTTGACTTAACGGAGGGGAAATTATATGCCACTCAGTTCTGATTGAAGTGGCCCATAAGACATAAAAAAAAAAAAAGGCGATGTGAGGGCACAGAGTCAAGAGCTACCCAGTTGAGTGTAGACTAGTCCAAGTAAATATGTTCTAGCAAACAAAAGATAAGCAGAATACACAAAACAAGACTTTGCTCCTCACCCAACATATGTTTGTAAACTCAGCTTTGAAGGTTTCAGAAATTTTTATCTCTGAACAGAAAACCAGTTTTTAAAATTACAGATGGCTGTAAGAATCCTATGACGCTTTACAATGTTCTAACACTACTGATTATACAGTATTACAATTTGAGATAGATTTTTATATCAACTTTAATTCTTAATCATTACGTTTTCATTGAATAGAAACAGAGTTCTAGTTTGATTAACAAGATTAGCATCTCCAGTAGGTTTAATCTTCTTGGATCACCTTGACATTCAGTAGCACACAGAGACTATTGAGGTGATACAGGCAACATTTGTTGATTCATATCAAAGCTTGGTTGCTATGAACGCCGACTAGAAATATCTAAGTCAGGGTAGTAGCATTTTTACTATTTGCAACAGCTTAGAAAGCAAACTTTTATTGAAGCATTATGATTTCTGGTACAGATATATCCTTGTACATTTTAATGATCCATGTCTAACACCAGATAAGTTTTAAACACCAAACATATCCCCCTCCCCTTTTGTTCAGCCTACTATTCATGAAGATCCATTGAACTGCTTTCTTTCTATCCAAGGCTCATGTTTAACTCTGCATTTTCAGTATTACTTAAAGGAATCTGCAGTCTAACAGACCTCAAGTCAAAGAGTGCCATTCACTTACTTGGAGCACTCATTACAAAAAGCGTTTGAAAAATTGGCCCTTAAAAATTAAAAGCACCATGAACCATTAGGTGCTACACAGAAACAACATTTATTGATTTTGGTAGGGAAAAAAAAAGATGTTCCAACTGCTTGATTTCCAACCAAGCAGGTTTAATAACATAGAAACACTAAAAAAAAAAAAGTTTCCTTTATAAATATAAAAGGAGCAAAACATTCATATTCAGATAATCAAAAACATAGCCAAGGACTAGAATGTCACATCTGTAACAGACTTGCTGGTCTCAACAGCTAAAATCCCATAGCATTTCAAATGACTGAACATGCTCTTTTAGAAACT